CAAAAGCCACCCGGTTGAAAGCAAAGCGCGTTCGGGCCAAGGTCTCGGGTCTAATTGAAGTGTACAGCATTTTGGCGAGTTGCCGGTGTCAGATGGGTGGGGTGGCGGTGGTGAAGGGGGGACTGACAAAGACTTGAGAGAGAGAGTAAATGGAGGGATGAGTGCAGAGGGGAGAATAAAAGATGAAGAGAAGAGGAGAGGAGAGAAGAACAGAGCGGAGGAGACAGTAACAAGGCAACTAATGGAGTTAGGCTCTCCCCGGCGGAGCATAATGCGAGCGTATTACGTTTCAGCCCCTTCTTCTCATGTTTGGAGACGCAACTCTGAAAGGATTCAATTTATATTTAATGTGGACGGCCCTCTTAGCCTTTTAATTACAGCAGCCGTAAGGAGGATGCTCTATATTGTATTAAGATAATTGAATAGAGGAGGCTTCTTTGTGTTACAAGTGCCATGAGCTGCTCTCAGCCTCAAACATTTTCCTGGAAAGTTCTTAAAGAGCTATTCGTCAAATAAACATGTTTAAAGTTTGAAAGTATATACATATATTTATTGAAATGACGAATGAAGTCACTTTTTCGTCAAAACATACACACATATATACGTATGGTTTTCAAGTTATAATAACACATAGAAACTACTCAAATGACTCTCCCAGTTCTCAATGCAGCGTACTGCCGCTTTAACATAGTAGTTGTGGATAAAGTTTTCTGATGGTAAAGTTGCCTCTTCTTCAACAAAAAAATCCCCCTCCAGATCCTGTAAATTCCTGGACCACCTGCACGCTTGAGACCACCAACGTGAGCAGGTATTTTTGTTATGAATCTATGAATATATCTGTTTTCTACCTATGTATTTTTTCAGAATTTGTGATAAATCAAATTTGTTGGTAACGCTTTATATTAAGGTGTGCTTGTTAAGTATTAATAAGATATTAATAGACATTAGCAACATGCTTATAGATTGCTTATATGTACTTATAAACATATTAATACACATATTAAACACTATTTTGCAGTACCTTAATCTAAAGCGAGGAGCATTTTTGTTAATGCAGAAAAAAACACAACAATGATCTAAGATGTTTTTATTTATTCAAACAGCAACAATTAAAGTATAATATATGAAAATTAAGTTTGTGCCAAAAGTTTGTTAGTAACTTCAAGGAGCCATGATGAACCCACTCATGCTCCGACCTGCTCTGTTAATGAATTTGGCTTTGGCAAAACAGTGAATCAGCTGACTTCACGAGCCTGAGAGATTAGCGGAACTCGCCTAATTTTGGGCATCGTCTGGTCCTCCCGGTTCTGCGCAGTGGACGAGCTCCCATGATGCTTTGCGCCAAATACGCTTGCGTGGCTGTCATGCACGTGCACAGAGGGGCCGTGCTCTGACCAATCAGAGCTGCTGATCAGAGCGAGAGTTAGAGCGGGAGTTAGAGCGAGAGTTAGAGCGGGAGCCAGACGAGTAGAGTTTGTGGCCGTAAAATGTGGATTTAAAGGACAACTCACCCTCAAATCCACTTTTTTTTTTGCTGATAAACGGTATAAATGAGTGTCCAATAGTGTTGTCTACATATCCTGGTCATAATTTTGTCACTTTGGTGCAAATTAGTTGAAAGTTAAACTTTCTGCCTAAAACCATCTGTGAGGCGCCACCTGCTGGCGACCTGTATTACTACATTTACTTAATATATGGCTACATTACGCATCTCCATTCTATTTATCATGAAATAAAGAGTTTTTTTATTTTATTTATGCCATAAATTGGCATATTGTATATTTCTGACCAATATATCAATAATCGTCATATCGTGATAAAATCGTTATTGTAATCTTTATCGTGAGCTTTGTATTGTGTATCGTATTGTATCGTGAGGTACCCTTAGGTTCCCACCCCTGTCCGCTAATCTCTCAGGCTCGTGAAGTCAGCTGATTCACTGTTTTGCCAAAGCCAAATTCATTAACAGAGCAGGTCGGAGCATGAGTGGCTCCTTGAAGTTGCTAACAAACTTTTGGCACAAACTTAATTTTCATATATTTTTTCATTTAGACTTTAATTGTTGCTGTTTGAATAAATAAAAACATCTTAGATTATTGTTGTGTTTTTTTATGCATTAACAAAAATGCTCCTCGCTTTAGATTAAGGTACTGCAAAATAGTGTAATAAGCAGTTTATTAACGCATATTTTAGTGGCCTATTACCACTATTGCCTATTAATAAGCAGGGTATTAATATCTTTATAGGCATATTGTTAGTGGCCTATTAACATGGTATCAATAATAGTTTAATAAGCAGCTTATTCATATATTTATAAACATATTCCTCCTTTAATAAGTATCTTACAAATTACTTATTAAATGCTTAAAAGCATATAACTAGAACAAAATAATTTAGAGAATAGTGAAATGAGCAGCTTATTAATATGTTTATAAGTACATATAAGCAATCTATAAGCATGTTGCTAATGTCTATTAATATCTTATTAATACTTAACAAGCACACCTTAATATAAAGCGTTACCAATTTGTTTTATTTAAGTTTAATGTATACGAAAGGGTAGGCGTTTATAAGCTTTAGCTGCTGCCTATTCCTATTTCAGACCTTATTTTGACCTTTATTTCTCCCAAGTGCCTGAAAATGTTTTGAATTGTCAAACTTCTGAAAGGAAATTTAATTTAATGGAAATTTGATCGGTTCTGTTCAGTCAGATTTTAAGGGACCAATAACCAGGATTTAAAGTACTTTTAACTACATCTCATGCATTCCGTCCACAGTTCCATCCATTTATGTTTTGCAAAAACACTTTTCCACCACAAAATGACAATGCACATTCTGGCTTCCAGGTTTACGTGGTCATATCAGTTCCACAGCCATTCAAATCCTTAAACCTCACATTTTAGCAGCACTTTGCTTTACTTCTCCGGCCCAATTACACCGCTCTGTAAATGCCGAAAGCACGTTTGTTCCCGTCATATATTCTCCACCCGTAATGGCGCTTTTTTTTTTTTTTTTTTTTTTGCTATTGTATTAAAATAGAGCAGAGGTAGCCACCCAGCATGTTTTTGAAGCAGATTTGACAATGAGCTCCATAACGACGTGGTTTCATTCCATATTCTTTTACTTGTAGTGCCAGATCCAGCCTGGGCCAAGTGCATAGTGTTTCTGGGTTTGTCCGCCCCAAAAACATGATGTACTAACGAAGAAGAATGGGATTGCTCAGAGGAACTGGCAGAACAAACTACTTGGATATTTTTAAATGTGGTTCCTAATGGTTTAATCATTCTCTCTTGTACATTGGGTAAATGCAATAGTTAGCCAGGGTATAAGACTGCACTATTGTTTGATACACTTTTTCTGTTGTTTATGACCCACATTGTCTCGATTCACGTGTGAAAACGCGGAAAGTATTAGAACAAGACCCTCGCCCTGCATTAAACAAATAAATAAACTGTTTGGGGATTGGCCAGACATTCATACTTGTAAATGCACATTCTTGGAAATAGGGATTGGTCCTAAATTCCCAAAAAAAGACAAGTACAACACAATTTTTTTGTCACCACTGGAATTTAGCCTGTTAACATCAAAAGGTATATTACCATTGAAAACATTGCAGGATTTGTCACACTCAAAAGAGCAAAGGAGCGCCACAAGCAGCCTGTCCTGAACTTGCATCTGCGGACAGGAATCCTGCTCCAGTGATCCAGAGTGGAGAAACTAATCCATCAGATTACAGCAGATTACAATGCACTGGGGAAGAGGCAGACTGCTGGATTGTATCAGAATAATAAGCCCAGATAAGAGCTGAGGGTGCTCTGATAGATAACGGCTTTAGTTTTGTTTATTTGGCGTTGATTCTTGCTCCATTGTTCTCTTTGGTCTACAAGTGTTGGATGACTTTGCGTGAAAGGAATCCTATTTATTTTGTTCTTTATGTTCAATCTTTTGAACCAATAAAATTACATACTGGAGACTCTGAATGTTGTTGTTGGCTAAAAGATCCACGCTGCTGCAGAGTATGTGAAGGTAATAATGCAGAGGGATGCCAATGACCAGTGACTGAAAGAGCTGAGTGGTGTGGGTGGAAATTAGCCGTCAGACCTGGAGATTGTGACGCTGCCAGAAGTTAAATCAATATAGAAGCTGAGTTTTTTCTTTAGCCATTACAGGAATCCTAAGGAAGACTAAACAGTAAGACGACAAGTAAGGTGCCATTATTAGTAACACTACAGTACCTTTTGTTGTTAGTCCTGTTTCCTCAGGTATTGTACTTTTAAGTGTAAGAACACAAAAAAATGAAATGTTTTATTTCCCAACCTGAATGTGTCCAGACGTCTGGACGTCTGTGTCCAGAGGTTCTATAATGGAATACAATGTCAACCATCAAAACAAACAGCTTAAGATTTTCAACTGAAAGGCAGCGGAATATTAAGAGGAACTGTTTAGATTGTACCCAGTCTTCTTCCTTCAAACAACCAACCAAACAAACACACAAATGAAAAACAAAAGAAAAAAACAGTATTTCACATGTCGTGCTTTTTTCATTTCTGCTTGTTGACTTTTTGAACTTTGGCCCACATACCGTGACAGATAATCTGAGTTGGAGTCACACTTGTGGAAAAAAAGGCCATGGGACCAGTGGGACTTCAGACCAGTGGACTTCAGACCATTGGGACTTCAGACCAGTGGGACTTCAGACCAGTGGGACTTCAGACCAGTGGACTTCAGACCAGTGGGTCTTCAGACCAGTGGGACTTCAGACCAGTGGGACTTCGGACCAGTGTGACTTCAGACCAGTGAGTCTTCAGACCAGTGGGACTTCAGACCAGTGGACTTCAGACCAATGGACTTCAGACCAGTGGGACTTCAGACCAGTGGACTTGAGACCAGTGGACTTCAGACCAGTGGGACTTCAGACCAGTGGGACTTCAGACCAGTGGGTCTTCAGACCAGTGGGACTTCAGACCAGTGGGACTTCAGACCAGTAGGACTTCAGACCAATGGACTTCAGACCAGTGGGACTTCAGACCAGTGGACTTCAGACCAGTGGGACTTCAGACCAGTGGGACTTCAGACCAGTGGGTCTTCAGACCAGTGGGTCTTCAGACCAGTGGGACTTCACACCAGTGGACTTCACACCAGTGGACTTCAGACCAGTGGACTTCAGACCAGTGGACTTCAGACCAGTGGACTTCAGACCAGTGGACCTCACCCACAGCGTATGACCACATGGCCACGAAGAGACTCTCATAAAAAACCCAAACAATCAACACCACAAAGTTTCACAAAGTTTTAAACAGAGACGTCTTTACTCCTACAGTACAACAAAATGTGTGACTCAGAGGTGTGGATTGATAGTGCCAGTGTGTGGCAGCCAGCAGCGGCAGTGGAGGCTGGTGTGAGATTAGTGAGGAGAGGGCTCTCCACATCCTGCACGGCAGAGCTGCAGCCAACGTCCTCAGTGCCGAGCTGTGCCGAGCTGTGCCGAGCTGTGCCGAGCTGTGCCGAGCTGTGCCGAGCTGTGCCGAGCTGTGCCGAGCTGTGCCCACTGCCAGCCCGGGACTGAGATGAAGAGGGAGGAGGGAGAGGGATTATAGCAGGCTGCTCGGGGAGAAGAAGAATTCACTTCTGGACAGGCCTGATGTAACTTTTGGATTGTGGCGTTGTTGTACCAGATTACAGTATGTTCTGTAAAGAATGGACAGAGGATGTAACGTGCTGAGATGATCATGTGCTGCATCATACTTAAATAAGCCGTTTTCTGCACAGGACCACTCTTCAGGGCTTTCATTCTGGACGTTCTCCATGTGCAAATAAATGTGTGTACTTGTAGATTTTTTGGAATCCTAGTTTACGAGAATGTTTCATTTGCGTGACAGTAAGTCGTGACATCAACAAGAGGAATGTATCATTGTAAAACACTTGATGAAAATGTGATGATGATAGAGCCAAGGGTATGTAGACATTTCACAACTGTACTTTAAGATCCTTTGACCTATGACATGTACGATATACCAGAATCTTAAACAATGTGTTTAATGACATGTTATTTGAAACACAAAGTTTACACACCCAGGTAGAAACTTTTGTTTATCGTTCTTCAGTGAATACAAAAAATAACACACTTTTTTTTTTCATTTATTGTTTGCTGACACCATTTTATTCATAAGTAGCTTAGATCCCCCAGTTCTAATTACAATGTACTGCACCTTTATGATGGTAAAGTTTCCCAGTTCCTGTAAAAAATCCCGGGTTGTTTTACATGAACTACACATTTGGGATCTCCCCTAGTTGTTTCAATTATATTTTGACCTAAAAAAAAAAAAAAAAAAAAAACATGTTTATTCGACACAACCACCAACAATGACAGAATACAATGTCCTTTTTATTTTTCATAATCTCCATTTCATCGTTAAAACTAAGATGCCCAGCCAAGGACCAAGTTAAGATGAGGTGAAGGGAAGGAAGTCATATACAGGTTTTGAAAAGATGGAGCGAGATGTGAGAACAAGGAGAGCCTAAAAGAGGAGAAGAAAGGACAATAACAAGCTAATCACATGGCTATCGCTCCTAGACACAGTGTGACAGTCACGCTCACATTCACGCACCATGGACAATCAGGCTCGCCCTTGGAACTAGTTCACCTCTATACGCACGTCTGTGGATGGTGCGAATAGGCTTTAAGGGGTGGCGCTCAGAATCTACAGTGACATGTCCAAAACTCGCACCCCATGCTGGTCCACGTCAGAACCAATTCTACCTCTTGCTGCGCTGGAAACGCTGCTACGTACTGTATATACCACCGTGCACATCCACTGACTTTCTGGAGCATCTGACGGCAGCAGAATGCAGCCTGCACTCCGACCTGACCTTTGATCCCTAGCGTAATGAAAGAGGAGTGAGTGGGCCACGAGACAGACATGTAAAACGGCCATTACAGCGGGGTAATGGTCCATGTCTAATGAAGGCCCTCATGTCGTCCAGGCTGAATCTGTCACATGAATCTACCCAGAAGATTAGTAACAAAGCGATCGTACACCCTGTCTTTCTGCATTCAACTTGAAAAACATACCAAGATGACTTAAACGAGGAGAAAACGTGAAAACTATGTCTTTTTTGAAGAAAATGAAAAAGTCTGGGGATGTCTTATTGTCGATGGTAGACAGCACGAAACAAATATGTTAAAGAATGCAAGTGATAATATACATCATGGAGGGATGGAGACCGTCCAATCAGCATTCGCCACAGTGCTGGTAGATTCAACTTTGAGATAACCAAAACATGTAGTGAAAAATTACTGTTGGATATTGTTGGAGTTTTGAGCTTAAATGCAGGACGATTTTCCCAAGCAGCCACCCTCTCCACTTTTTTAACAAAACTCTCTCTGGTCTTATTGGACGAGCACGTGTCACCAGAATGATTGACAATTGGGAGGACCAATAGTCTTGATCATCCCCCCAGAAGTAGAAAATCCTAAATACCTTTCACTTTAACCACAGTTGCTTCAAAGTTTCATGAAATATCCAAACCTTTTACATGTGTCTATTTATCTTCATTGCTTCATGATCTTGGGCGGTAAACCACAGTCGCGCTGCTGAAATGTTGTTTTGACTACTTGCATCAAGCAGAATGGTAGCCCACGAGGGACAGCGGCATGTTTATATATATACGCTTTTTATTCGGGCCTTTTTTATTGTTTATTTGGATTGAAGCGGCAATCTGTGGTGTTGCTCCCCAGCCAACCATTTTCAGTAGTTTATTTGTGTGCGAGAAGCTTTTTAAACGCCGGTAGAGCTGCAGGCTAAGCGTCTGGTTCAGAAGGCAAAGAGATGGTCTTTTTGGAGCGGGGAAGAGAAAGGGGAGAGGTCAAGCAAGAGGAAGTTTAATAAAGACAGAAGAGGAGGAGAGAGTGAGAGAGGGTTGGGGGGCAGATAGATTGCTTCCTGTCAATGCCACTATGGGCTCTGTATTGGAATATGTGTTGAGTTTAATACTGAAAGCAAGGTCAGAATAAAGAAAAATGGCCGCTGCTAGCATAATGACTAACGGAGAACATGTCCGTTGCGATTGTTTTACATCATAGAGATGGCTGTATAGCTTTAGGGTGATTCTATATCTAATTGAGACATCAGTGGCCAAATGTGTTGAGCAGGAATGGTTAATAAAAACGAGTTGATGATTATAAGGTATTTTTTCTTTTATAATAAATCAGTCCAGTTTGAGTATTCACAGTTATAATCATTGGTGTTACAATTTGGCTCAATACATACAATTATTTTCCTTTGCAGAGCTACAAAGATGGCAGGTGTCTTAGAATACAATTTGCATGCAGGGTTCTCGGGCCACAAGTTGGAGATCACTACTATACAGTTTTGCATAGGCATTTAAATGTAGAACTGTTTAAAGGATTTATATTGTGATCTGTGCATGCAAAACTGGTATATAGGCAAAATAAAAAAATGTGTATAGGAATATTGAGGCTGAGTGAGTATGATAATTAGATGTGATTGGACCATACAGTTATGTACAAAAAGTTAATATTGTATAAATTGTACTGCAGCAATGACCTAAGTTGTATACATGCTGTTATCAGTGTAGAAAAGTTCAGATTTATATCCCTAAAAAATACTATCCATCCATCCATTTTCTTCCCCTTAATCCATTTCTGGGTTGGGGGGGTGGCAGTCAGAGCTGCGCCCAGTACACAGAGCACCAGCCTAAAAAATACTATCCATCTAAAACCTAATGCCTATTGCCCAATCATATTTGGAGAGAACGCTGCTTCTATCAGCCACAGCAGATGCATTTTGAGGCATCCATTCCATTCTTTTTTTTGCCCCTCCTCAGGGTTAACACGCCTATTCAGCCTTTCTCTTTTGTTTTTAGCCCCCTAATCTGCAGAAATCTATTGCTCCATTATTTTACGGCCACACACTCCCGATCTTCTGTCTCCTCCAATGGCTACGACAATAGAACAAAAAGACAAAACATTTAATTAGCCTCAACTCCGCAGACAAAATGACAAATCTAAATCCAGCGACTTGGGGAAGAAGGCAGTGGAAACAATGAGAGAGGAGCTGTCTTGTTTGCGTTGGGAAATGATTTCTTTTTGAGGGCTTTCCGGCAACCGAAGCGATGACAGTTTATCGGATTAGGGATCGTGGATAATAAATACCCTTGTTTGATTTCTCCTCCCATACTCCTTAAACCTGATTACTGTGCACTGTTACCGCCAACGCCACAACGCGGGCCGCAATTTGCATAATGTTTATTGAGACACTAAGGAGGAAAGAGATGGAGAAGGATAATCAGGACCCGTCAGTGTCGATTTTTCTTAATTCAACTTGTTCAGTCGTAGGGCAGTTTTCTTGACCTTGTCGGTGGCACTTGATTTGCAGGTATGTGGCTGAGTTGAGAGGGAGGTGGATACTTGAGCACTTGTCTCATAAATACATAGTGCAACGATCCCACAACGACTCACTCTGGATGAGTGTAGCAACAAGTTACTAAGGGAAAGATGCAAAGGGAGTTACATGGTTTCCTGAGTGTCATAATAACGAGACAGTATGCTGAAGATAATAATATAATTTCCTTTTAAATATTCTGGCATGCCATGAATTTCCATTACAATCAGAAAGGGTCTTCACATTCATACTCACCGTCTTGCGCTGCCATGTCATTTTGCTTCGGTTTTCAACTCACTTTTTGACCTAATGTTTTGATCATATACCGTACATATTAACAAACGTAGTCACGCCCATCTCTGCTGTTCAAACTAATGTGCCACCACTTTTGCCTTCTGTGGGTTTTTACAAAATGGTTGCGGGGCAGAGAAATGTGAAAAAACGCATTTGCGCATGCGCTAGCCGGTACTAGCCCCATTCATTTAGCGAGTGCATTCTAAAGTTCACAGCGGCTAAACTAAACTGGTCCAAAAAATAATAATACTCCCCTCGGCATTGACAGCATCTGGAACGTAACGTTGAGCCAAGAGTAACATTACTATTCTGTAAAGCCGTTTTTGCGAGGGAAGAAGAAAAAAAAACATTGGATAATTCAATTTCCGGGTACACCCCCACCAGTTAGGAATGGTATTGCAAGCGTGTCAGTGCACAGGCTCATTGACCATTTTTAGTTGGGACCTGCCCCCACTGGTTTTGACAAAGCCTTGTTCAGTGTAAACACTGTGTCCCAATATACTGTAGCTGTCATTATAAACACCAAACTATGACTGTTGTGTGTTTAACTTTCCTTTAAGGCCATGAATGGTAATTTGTTGCAATTATTGAATATGTATTGTGCATGTTACATTTCAGCAAAACCCCAAATGCACAAGTGACAGCAGCACTTAAGAAAGAAAAAAAAGTCCTCCATCTGGGCACATGCCGCACCCCTACTGTCCACGGCCTTGCAGAGAACTATCCCTCATGAATGTGTTTATGTAAAATATGTTTGATAATGTCCAAGTGGAGCCGTAAAAAAAATTCTAAGAATCCACAACATGCTGTTAAAAGAAACCATTTTATATTTTGCATAAGAAAGTAAGAAGAACCCTAAGTAAGAAAGAACCC